GTGGTTTGGAGGAAGGGGTGAGGGTTGACCCCGAGGATTGGCCGAGGGACGGACGGGGGCGGCAGCAGAGGAAGGAGGGAGGAGCAGCAAAGGGGCGGGGTGGAGGAAGAAGCTCAGGATTGGCTGAGGGACGGGACTGGGGCGGGGCAAGGGATGACGGAGGGGTGGCTGGGCCAAGGGGTGGAGGAAGAGCTGAGGAGGTGGAGGAGGGAGAGCCTGAGGAAGGCGTCGGGGACCCTCTACTGCTCCGCCCTGGGCTGGTCAATCAACCTAGCGATCGGGCTACGAATCGGTCTATTGATCTATCGATCGATTGATCCACCCATCGATCGATTGATCCACCCATCGATTGGTCGATCCACCCATCGATCGATTGACACACCCATCGATCGCTATCGATCGATTGATCCACCCATCGATCGATTGATCCACCCATCGATCGGTCGACCGCTCGATCAGCGGCGCTCTCGGTCGCTCTGTCAGCGCCCCGACCAATCGGTCGCTCCGCTGGTGGCTCTATTGATCTGTCAGGGCCTCGATCGATCGATCGATCAATCGATCGGTGCATTGATCTGCCGCTCGCTCTGACGGTCGGTCGGTGTCCGTCTCTATTGATCTAGCAGGCTGTCTCTTGATCTATCGATCAATCAATCAATCAATCTATCAATCTATCAGTCTATCAATCGATCGATCGATCTATCAGTCTGTCAATCAATCAATCTATCGATCTATCAGTCTATCAATCAATCGATCGATCTATCAGTCTATCAGTCTGTCAATCTATCAATCTATCAGTCTATCAGTCTGTCAATCAATCTATCGATCTATCAGTCTATCAATCAACCAATCTATCGATCTATCAGTCTATCAATCAATCTATCGATCTATCAGTCTGACAATCAATCAAGCTATCGATCTATCAGTCTATCAATCAACCGATCGATCGACCTATCAGTCTGTCTGTCAATCAATCGATCGATCGATCTGGTTGATCAATCTCCCCACCAGTCGATCAATCTCCGTCTCTCCCGACCGATCGATCCCGAATTATTTCTTGCTCCCAGCTCTGCCCCTCGCTGCTCTCCCTCCTCCTCCTCCCCCCCCTGATTATTGATCAATCGATCAATCAATCAGCCAATCAATCCTCTCTCCCTTCGGACCTCCCCGCCTCCCAATAGCTTCGTCCCACCAACGATCCCTCCCGATCAATCGATCCCTACCCGCTCTCTCGCTCCTCTTCCTCTCCCTGCCGCTCTCTCCGGCTCCGGCTCCGTCTCTCCGGCCACGCCCACTCCCTCCCTCCCTCCCGCGGCCACGCCCACTCACTCTTTCTCCGGCCGTCCTTCACCCCGCCGTCAATCAACCAACCAACCAACCGATTGATCGATCGATCGATGGCTTTCGCTACCCTCCGTGCCAACCAGCTTCCGGCTGGTGGACCGGACCGCCCACCCATCGACCCCTCCCCTAATCAATAAATTGACGTATCGATCTCCCGTTGACCTATGACCTTTCTAGCGATGGCGTTATTGACCTTTCACCTCTCTCTTCCTTGATCTCTCGGTCCCTATTGGTCAGCCTGCTGACCTAGAATCTGTCGATCAGGCCAGGGATCCTCCCCTCCCTATTGATTGGTCTCTGGTGATCGACGTATCGATCTTCACCTCTCGATCGATCGACCTCTTGACCTATCACCTTTCCTTTGATCAAACTTTCCCTCTATTGATCGAGCTATCGAGTTTTAATCGCGATCTATTGGCGCGTCATCCTCCTATTGATTGACGTATCGATCTCCACCTATCGATCAATCGACCTCAACCTCTCTATCGATCGACCTCTTGACCTATCACCTTTCCTTTGATCAAACTTTCCCTCTATTGATCGAGCTATCGAGTTTTAATCGCGATCTATTGGTGCATCGTCTTCCTACTGATCGACGTATCGATCTTTATCAATCAATCTCTTGACCTGTCACCTTCCCCTTCACCAATCTTTCCCTCTATTGATCAATCTATCGAGATTTAATCAATCGCGATCTATTGGCGCATCCTCTTCCTATTGATCGACGTATCGATCTTCACCTATCGATCGACCTCAACCTCTCGATCGATTGACCCCTTGACCTATCACCGTTCCCTTGACCAATCTTTCCCTCTCTTGATCGATCTATCAAGATTTAATCAATCGCGATCTATTGGCGCATCGTCTTCCTATTGATCAACGTATCGATCTTCACCTCTCGATCGATCGACCCCTTGACCTGTCACCTTCCCCTTGACCAACCTTTCCCTCTATTGATCAATCTGTTGAGCTTTCATCGCAATCTATTGGCGCATCATCTTCCTATTGATCGACGTATCGATCTTCACCTATCGATCGATCAACCTCAACCTATCGATCGACCTCTTGACCTGTCACCTTTCCCTTGACCAATCTTTCCCTCTCTTGATCAATCTATCGAGATTTAATCAATCACGATCTATTGGCGCATCATCTTCCTATCAATCGACGTGTCGATCTTCACCTATCGATCAACCTCAACCTCTCTATCGATCGACCCCTTGACCTATCACCGTTCCCTTGACCAATCTTTCCCTCTATTGATCAAGCTATCGAGTTTTAATCGCGATCTATTGGCACATCGTCTTCCTATCGTTCCTATCGATCGACGTATCGATCTTCACCTCTCGATCGATCGACCCCTTGACCTATCACCTTTCCGCTGACCTGGCGTCCTCTCCATTGGTCGACCCCTTGAGCTTTGAGCTCGTTCTTGCCCAGCCCGTTGGCCTCTCGGAGCTCCCTCTTGACCACTCACCTCTCCCTCGCTCCAGCTGTCACCCGACCTCTCCCGGCACCAATTCCCGCGTCGCCGGAGCCG